AAGGTCCGTTGACGGGCAACCCGAGCAGAAGCATCGATGTCGGGTCTAGAGGTGGTGTCTGCAGAGAGCATTTTCTTTTTCCGTACGGCTACTCAGACTGATTTGAATTTCCAAAGGTCCGTGAGATGATCTGATTCGCTCTTTGAATTTGGTTCTTCGCTGACGATGTGGACTCGCAGGCTATCTCGCTCCCTAACAGTCTTGACCGCCGACTCGACTTTCTATTGGGCCTTGATGATCCGGACGTCAGCCTGAGCATCTTGCTCTATGACCATTATGTCTACAGGAAACCACCTGAAAACCGTGCTTCTGTTAGAACAAGAAGTGGAAGCTCCAGGGGCTTCACTGCAATGGCAACTTTCATATTCCACCAGATTGCTCTGGTTCCAAGATTTGCGGAAAGAGATTGAATGAGTCTATGCGAAGGGTAAATGGGCCATGACATAGGCACGATTGCGTCGGCAAAGCCCTGGGGGTTGTTCAGATGGGCCGTCCCGGGGACTGAAATCGTATGGCACCGTCGGCACGCGGTCGAGAACGGCACGGTTTGGAAGATTTCATTGACAGATTGACTTGCGCTGGAGCAAGCCCAAGCTGTGAACAGGGCATTGTTTGAGGTAGCCACGCAGCATAGGTGGTAATTGTATTGGTTTCTGAGCTGCTAGTTGTGTGAGTTTGATGATAGGAATCAGCAGCGAATCATACTAGAACATGTGAAAACTAGGGCGACAGCGACCAGTGGACCATAGTGGCAGAGGTAAATGTGGATGGCATGAGAAACAGCAAAACCCTCACTTCTCTTCCCCTGGTAATATCAATCTCTTCTGCAATAAACGGGGACACCTGTGACGACGAGCTATGACAAGTTGAGGCGCAAACAAATGCTGGGTGATCAGGAGCATAACTGTCTATTGAGGAGCCGCAAAGAGGCACAGTATGTCAGCTATGCCATGGTAAAGGCCCTAGTGGTCGCATGCTGGAGATGCTCTTGGCAGAGAGCTCGCTTGATGTCAATCAGAGCACCAGGAAGGCATTTTCAACTCATCGCCAGAAGCCACTTTCTTCAGGCGTCTGCAGGGGCGTCGGGATTTTGTTCGAAGTCAAAACGATTCCGGAAGCGTGTCAGCAGGTGAGCTGTTCTGATAATAGCGCCAAGCAATTGTTGCGGGCGGCGCCAACAATTCCGGCTTCCAAGACAATTCAGAGTTGGATAAATTGACTATCTGAGTCACAGCCACGGTTTTGGCCGATACAACCTCTGTCCTCTCCCTGATAAATCTACTCCGCCGGTGGGCAGTCATCCATTTAGTCAGGACGATGTCTCCAGACTTCAATGTGTGGCTCGGAGAGGCAGAAGTGAGCGAGGGACGACTTCTTCACGCTCTAGTCCGAATGTTCATCAGTTAGATGGCTAAGATTGGGGAGAAGGGCATGTGTCTGGCAGTCAGATGTCTGCTCACCAAACACTCAAGGCGCAAATGAATTGACGAAACCACAACCGCCGCTGGGTGGGAAGGACTGATCCCAGCGATCGGCCAAAGCAGATGCCTTTTTCTGCTGGCTCTTCTCTTCTGGCAAGGACTTCTTGGTCATCTCAAAAGATTTCCCTTCCCGCCCGGCAAACTGCCAACCACCAAAGCAAAAGATAGAGATGTTCCAATGAGGCAAAAGAGATGAGAATCTCAAGAGCTTATGTCTTGGCCACATCTTGGCAGTCTTTCTAGTGAAGTTTGGAACGTCGGTTTCAAAGATGACGGCGAAAAGTCCATGGCAACTGAGCTCGCTCCTCTTCAAAGCCGGTATTCTGTTATAGCACATTTCGGCGTTACAGGTGCAGGGATGGCAGCGGCTTTGAATTACCGAGCGAGAGTGCAGCCTTTCCAGATCTGACTCGATGCAAGGGGGAGAAAAGATGGGACGATTTTGCAGGCGGCTTCGCGATGGTATGGCCGTGGCCGCAGTCGGAACGTGTGTGTGAGCAAGGTTGGACGTGGTCGCGCTTCCATTCGGCCTTGCGAAGATAGCCGAATTGAACATGTCAGCATATGGACAGTTGGGAAGAAGACAGCTAAGAAGACAGCTAAAGGAGATGTACCAGAGCCAAGGCATCCTTGGGGCTGGCGGTGTACATTCCGCAGGCGCTGCGTCATGACATCGGTGGGCGGATGCCCAAGATATCAGGCTGTATGGGCGAGGATCAGCGGCAGCAGACTTCGCTTCATGATATCTCGGATGTTTCTTGAGCTTTGAGCATCGGCAGATTCTTTCGCAACTTGGATCGCGGTTCGTCCCCCACGTCCGCAGGTCTCTTCCTTGAGTGCAGCGTGTCGAGGCCAACTAATAGGTTGAGCCTGACCGCTAGTTCCTGGACTTGCCAACTTTCGCTGACTGCATTTATTTCTGTGATATTCAGCTTCTGTCCAGAGGCGTTGGCTGTGTTAACTGCCTTCTGGCGTTCTCGGCCTTTCGGTAGCCCGGTTGGATGGCATCGCCATCTCCGACGACGACATGGGATCCTGCACGTAATTTAAACGACCAACTGCATCAGCAAATCCCAAATGCAGCTATAGATGTTGCCGAGCGCTGAAAAGATTCAACTTGAGAAATGCGGTGAGAAATCCGGGGCTGGCAGTTGTCGACGCCCTTCGCGCATTATCGGGTAATTAGTGCATTGCAAACGGTCTTGTAGGGCGCTGGAGGAGTGGCAGGCGGAGTCCACATGACCTGATTCTCAGTAACGGAAGAAGATGGTGGGCTTTTGATCAATTGTTTTGTGGATTCCAAGTCGTTGTCTCTCGTGGTGCGCGTGTTCCCATACTGTTCTCCGGTCACAGCGAATTCCCTCCCGCCTGGACTCCGTCAAGTGTACATGCAGTAGAGAAAAGGCGGTAGTAGAAAAGACGGTCTGCGAATAGCTTTGGGAGCATGCTGACTTTGAAAAGGCTGAAGTCGGCACAGTCTGCTCCAAAATTGGACATGTCGCGGCTGGGTACTCGGGCACCTAACAGACCGTCTTGCCATTTCAGCATAGCCGAATAGCGGAAACCAGCATGTTCTGCGCCTGGGGTCTTGTGAGCGGCATAGCAAATTTCATCCGGACTTGCACTGGTCAAAGCAATACGCATGGCCTCTGAAAAGGGGAGCAACGTCCCATGGCGCCCGCAACAAAGACTTCAGTCTACAGACACAGCTGTCTAACATTGATATTTTCAGGACGTTATTACTGATACCGCCGAGGAGTGGGAACATTCTTTGTCCCTCTGATGCAGAGTTTCGATGTGGCTTCTGACGGAGAAGAGTGATAAACATCCAATGTGTGCGACATGATACCCGCCTTTCATTTTTGTTTCGGTTCAAAGGCCGCGAGAGGCTCGGCCATATAGGCATTCGTTTCAATACACTGTACTCGTACCAAGGGCTGGAAATGTCCACTTCCATGCTCCTTGAGAACATAGAATGTCGAGACCGAAGTCGTCGAACGCCAGATTCATTGCGCGATTCATGCGTTTTCTAATTTAGGCACACCTACAAGAGGTGATTGGCCAGGGATTTCAACCTGAACTTGAACTCTTTCGAAGCTGCACGTGTGGTCTGTCAAATCCCCAGCGGCTGATTCCACGTTTGGTCATGCGCCTATGTACATCTCTTGGAAAGCGGTTTGCATCTCCTTCAGCCCTTCAGCTTCTCCTCATGATTCCCATTATGGTCCTTACTCATGGCTTCTTACCAGAGCTCAGAGTACTGCCACTTCCAAGTCAATCTTTGCGACTTTCACAGATCCACGCCACGAACATTTCTAAGTCGTTCCATTTGAAAAGCTCATCTAGGTTCTCCAGAGCACCCCAACCACAATCAATGACTGCCGAGCAAGCATGCTGTCACAGCCACCGCAAGCCCAAAGGGCTGTGACTGTATCGGACCGTAGCCCCAACAGTCCATGTTCTTCTGCGTCTCGATCGGCGCAAAACGACCACAGCCGCAGATTCTCACTGTCCTTTTTGCTTCGAAGCAAGGTCCGCTGCCCGCCATGGCGATGAAGTCTCTCTCATAATTCCTCGACGCCGGGAGAACATATATCGTGCCCTGCTCTGCCATTAATCTTCCTTCATCTGCTTGTAAAACTGAGAAACCTAACATCTCATCACAAGGAACAGGGTTGTAGGGCTTTGGGACGAATCGAGTTCAAGATCGAAAACCGGTGTCGGAGCGACAAGAAGTACGAGTTCAACGAGGAAGCAAATCGCAGGCCTCGTTTCAGCAATGACTACATAAAGCCCTTCTTCGCAACGATTCGCGACCGAATATGCTTCATCTACACAATCTCAGCTCCGACACCATGAGATGGTGTCTGAAAGTTCAGTGGGTGCAAGCCTTTCCCAAAGTCTGCGTTTGGTTATGGAAACCCACGCTGACTCTGCCTGAGTCAAATCATATGCAGTAAGCTTTCAACCTCCTCAGGCTCGGTGGTCGGATTAAAGTCGACGCTGGCTCAAGGAACACCAAACGTGGTTATGTATTCAGGGGCAGCGGCTGTCATGGGGTTCGCTTTAATTGGGCAGACCACGGGATCCAAGTGGCTTCCTTCTTTCCGCGGGCATGCTCATGCTAGCTGTCTAACGCCAGAGGGAATAATGAGGGACTCCAAGTTTATATCAATAGCAGACGTTCGCAAATACTTCATGTTTGCGACCTATCACAAAGATCGTAGGCAAGGTGGAATATCGCCACCGTATTCCCGCACACATAGCTCGTAGGGCAGAGTGTCACACTGATGACTTGGGCAAGATGCTGAGCTTCGGCGGGAACTTGGGGAAGGAAACTGTCAATAAGTGGTATGATGACACCTCATGATCGGACACGAGCAAAAGCAAACGCTTTGACAGCATGACTGGTACGGGAATGAGTCTATTTAACGACAAGGCCTATGGACGAAGCGGAACCAGAAACATGACTGTAATTCAACCCAGTACCCGCTGATGCTGCCAACTACTAGTGCTTGCTTAGTTACCCTGCTGAACATCCACGATTCCTTCGCTGCTAGGGGCTGTCTTGCCCATGGCCGTCAATGTGGCAGCTGCCCGGGGGGTTATCTGCTTGTCAAAGATGTCTACCAAGGTCTTTTTGGTATCCGCAGAGCTGTAGGGGACGTTGTGACGACAGAGAATATTCCGGAGGGTGGCGACCTTCAAGGTCGAGGGCTTGAAGTTGGGGGCAAGGTAGCCGACGTCGTCCCACATAGAAGGGATATTTTCCAATGGAGTCGCTGCAGTACCATCGCCTTTCGATTCCGCCGGGCCTTCTTGACCTGCCTCTTCTGAAGGCTTGGAGCTGGAGGCTTCCTCCTTAGAAGAGAATGTCTTGGACGACGATGGCTTGGTGCTGTCTAGATGCATTCGTTGAACTGCACCGGTAAGGTCGTCATTGTCGACGATGAACCGGGCCTTGGCTTTCTCGGACCGTTGCTTCTTCATCGCGAGGCGCGGCTGCGGGTTGAGGATCTCGTTCGAAGGGTGGTCTTCATCGGGTGGCACGGGAGGGATTTGGGAGTCATCGGGGTGGGACTCCTTCCCAGAGCGCGTTCGTACCATTGGAGTGTTGAGCAGTGGATTTGACGATGGCAGATGTGTGTCTTGGTCGTGTGAGGCCTGCGGGGATTGATGAGAGTTGTTGCGATGTGATGGAGGTTGACTCGCGATGTGATGTCGTCCGGCCGATGCTGCTCTCTGCTATTGCTACACTGGGGTGAAGTTGGCAATGGTGGCCCCCGCGCGCCTTCCTCAACCGGATGTCCGTTTGAGGACGTGGTCGCCCCGATTCGCGGTCGGTCGCTGTGACTGGATGTGACGTCAGAAGGTGGGGCTGGGTGGAAGAGGCCCTGAGAGACAGAAGGAAGGTCCGACCAAGACAGTAGAGAAGTTGCACTCAGCAAACAAAGGCCTGGGTGTTCTTGACTCCTGCCTTCCATGCTAAAGGAGACCAAACAGATTGGATACGTACCGATTCTCGGAGTTATGCACCGCCCACTTACGTAATCAGGCTGCACCACTGCGCTGCATCCTCTAGCAAGCCCGACAAAGACCTTATCGTCGACTCGCAGTCCGTTTCTTATCTACTGACGTTGCCTTAAGGTTTTCAAGGCACCCCTGCCACGGCGCCGGTGGATTGAGCCACTCTCCACCGACCCCGCCTGATGGATTGGCGCTTATTGCAGAAGTGCCACAACCCAATCCATTGCACCCCGGAAGGTGCTCCGAACTTCGCCAAACTTCCTTTTGGGGGACGCCCATTTTGTCGACTCGAGACCTAATTTGCGCTGCGAATGAACACATCCCGACTATTTCGGCACGAAGAGATCCTGCAATCGGCAGAGCAACCCGACAGAAAGGAAGCTATGTCTCGCGTTTCCTGATCTCCTGGGCCCCAGATTATCGCCGCCTTTCTCGACCGCCACGGAGCGTTTCGCGCAAGCATCACCAAACCCTGCAGTCTTCGCCAAAGCTTCAGACTTTTGCCTCCAGTCTTGGTGCGCAAATCCGACCGCCAGATACCAACGATATTCAATCAATCCCAAATCTCAATCGTCCACGTGAGAGGTCCTTTTTCGGCCATCTGCCGCGCGCTTCATCTGTTGACCTGCCCAGATGCAGCTGCAACCGTACGTCTCGGTGCCTGAGATACATTGGGTCTTCTTCGGGTTGGACTCTCTGCTAATCATGGACAAGAACACACAAAGCACGCAACGCTCCCTGCCACAACCCGCTGCCTGTTTCCCCAGACCTTTCAAGATGAACTCCGGGCCTATTTCGTCGCCCTTCGCCGGCATCAACCTTGATCCAAAGCACGCCAATACCATCTTGCAGTCTCCGGACAAGATTTACGGGTTTCTGAAGGAGAAGTGGTCTACTGCGAGAACGATGGATTTTCTCGCCGCAAGGAACGATGTTGCTCTTGCTAGGTCACGCCTCCTCCTCAACATGCCGCACACCTTCCTAGGATCGCACCCGGAGATGGCTGCCGCCCATCTAGACCAAGCGATTGGTCAGTCACAAGCCAAATCTGTTTGGTTTACCTACGAGCTTCTGGACTCCGAGATCTCCGATTTCTGTGCTGAGATGGTCGAAGAGAACCAAGAGATGTCAGAGGGGGACGCCGCCAAGAACTTCGTTACCATGTTGAATGACAGCGAACGCATTACATTGTGGCTCAAAATCAAGCTCGAAATACGTCTTAGCCTGGAGTACGGTCTTCTGAGTCTCAATGCCGATCCGAAGACCTGCATGGCAAGCCCGGCGGGTCACATCAGAAGATTTGTCACGGATAAGTCTGGGTTCTACGTTGACCCAGGCCCCGAGGACGAGGTCGACTCAATTTGGATCAAGGCAGCCAAGGTGTTCAAAGTTGCCATGGACAATGTTCATACAGCCTACCATGGGTCTATCAACTTCCGGGATGCAGCGTTTGTCCAGGATGTCACCAGTGCTGTCAGCGCGGTCTTCCAGGACAACTATCGAGACACCCTCGCCTATGTCAAGGAGTGCGTCGTGAAAGACCTCGATTTGCGCGTGACAAGGGAGCAGAAAGTCTCATTCGCGGAAGTCCGCAGGATTCAAAACAAAGCGTGGGACACCTACGACTCGGAGAATGCGCAACAAACATTGTTGAAGGCGAACGCCTCCTACTTGGCGGTTTGCAACAAGGTGGTCCCTCATGAGACAGATGGGAGCTCTTGATATCTTGGGCACAACAGCAGACTTTGATCGTCTACATTGCTTCTACCTTGGCTTTCCGTCTTCAACGAAGGTTGGAGGGGTCCTTGGATGGAATTTGGCACAGATATGTTGCGACGTTGGGTATCCAAGTCGCTCTTGGCATGTTTCTGTTCTTTTGCCCAATACCAGGAATATCATAACTTGCTTCGCCATATCACAAATATGTGTTCCGAACGTGATTGCAATGCCTCTTCATCCTCTTGACTTCTGGATATTCTTCCCTCGCAAGCCACCTGCTGCGTGTATCACCAGGTCCATCAAGATCACGATGCTTTGAGCCCCCATCCTCCGTATAATTGGGCTCTTTCGTGCTGTACCTGAACCCGGAGAAAGAAGGAGATTTTGAGGGACTGTCCAAAAAATACCGGATTGCTTTCATAGGTAACGAGTTCGAGGCGATCTTTTCGATGCTCGGGAATTCTCGGGCATCTTCAGCAAACACCCCCAGACGCACGTCTACGTTCACCGAATCTCAGAGTTTCAATACTCCGGTCACAGGCAATTAGCCTCCACTTGCCACACGCTCCTGCCGCAACGTTCTTCAGCGAAAAGTCAAGATTATAACAGAATTATTGCGACATTACCTAATCCTCAGGCTATTACTTATCACCGCAGACAAGGAAATCTGACATTACTGATACCTTGCCTTGTCCAATCCCTGGGCATTTTGATCTTTCTTCCTGCCTCCAGACGTCGCAGACTCTTCTTACTGGGGGTTAAATCGGGAAGGAAATCAGCGTCTGGCCGCAGGCGGCAGGCCGGCTCTTTGAAGCATGCAATGAGCACCTCCTGGTCCACACATTGCTAGAGCATTAGACGCATCGAAAGGCTGCCCGAGTGTGCCTTTGCAATGCATATGTAAATCAGGGTTTCTCTCCAAGGCCTGCTTGGAGGGTCTCATGAGGCCTTTGAGCCAATGAAGTCTTCCAGGTCGTCTTCGGACACAATTCCCGTACTTCAGCTTTCTCCTTCGGCGACATGATGAAGGTAACGAATGGAAATCACAGGACGAGGAACCTACAGTGTACTTTACCGCAACGAGGATTGCCCTGCAGATGGTATTATTTCCTCAAACATGAGGGCTTTCGAGAAGACTATTACCCGTCTAAGGGTGAAGCACGAAAGCAGGTCACTCGACCGGCTACACCCAGAACAACCTCAAACCCTACCGCAGATGGTCACAGCCCACAGAACAGATGCGTAGCAGAGGATCAGATCAGCGCCGTCGGTCTCTTCATGACCAAACGGCCTCCTCGGAACAACGCGAACTCTTCGGAACAACACGGTCTCCTCGGAACATCACGGTCTCTCCGGAACATCACGGTCTCTCCGGAACATCACGGTCTCCTTGAAACAACCCGGTTGCTCCGGAATAAAGCGATCTCCTCGTCACTCCGCGGCCACCTCGAAACAATGAGCCTTCCGGCAAGACGCAGTGTGGCATCTGGTGCTGGAGTACCCCGCCGAAAGGAAGCTGGACAGGATAGCTCATCACTCCTTGAAATGCCACATATTCTCCGGTCTCGTCATCATGTGCACCGTTGGTAGTACAGCGAAGCAAACTATGGCTACATCAAACCTTGAGGTAGAAGACGCCAGGGATAGAGGAGTTTGTCAGATTACTGAACTACCCTACACTCACTGAATATCACCCCATGTAATCTCCCGCCATTTCATTCAGGCTTCGGTCGAGACACTGCCAATGGAACACTGCCAAATCTTTGGGAGAAGCCACGAGCTGGACGGCCGATAGTGGAACGACTCTGGACAGAGTGGCCACTTATTACATAGAGGGAACTCGAAATCACACGTGAGTAGCTTCTCAAGACGAGTCTATTGACTTTATCGAAACTTGTAGAGAACAACAAAGATCCCCAAAATCCTAGCCGGAGCGGCACACCACATACGTGGACCTTTACTTTGCTACGGCGAGACATGATGCGACAGTAGACGTCCTCTGCCCATTCAAAGCAGCTCGAAGCTCCGTATCAAAATCTATCTCCCACGCGTCGTCCAGATGGATTGGTTTCCACCCCAAGTTCCGTCTTGCAATAGTTCCCTTCATCTTTCGGTACCCGGCATACGTCATTTCCGTTACGGCAACGTTACCTGCAGCCAATTTCGCTGCTGCATCCTCAAGACTAAGCTGGCGGATCTCTTTTGTCTGCGGCGTGCCCTCCTTGGGGAGATTTCCCTTCTCGAACGCAAGATCGAGACACTTCTTCGCCACATCTCTTGCGAGAGCTCTTCCAACGGCTGGGAAGATGATGCCCCTCTTGCCGGTGGGGATATGCTCTCCTCCAGTCTGGATGATATTGAGCACGCAAAGCACGTAAAGATCTGCCAAATCCGCAATATGCACCCAGTCAAACACTCCTGTGCCGTCACCACAGCTGAAGGCGTAACCTTGTTCGAGCACAAAGGCCATCGTCAGGGGAATCATCAAGCCAGCCTGTTGAAATAGCCCTGTGCCGGTGCCGAAGATGATGGGCGCTTGAATGCTCACTGCATTTACGTTTAGGTCATCTCCTGTGCGAAGGACGATGAGTTCCGAAGCGCGCTGAGCGTACCATTCAGTCTTGTTCTCCGCCTCTTCGAACGCGAAGACTTCGTCGGAATTGGCGTCATCGTATTCCACGTCCGGACGTCCCACGCCCGTGACGGGATTATCGGAGATGTTGGAGCAGCCTGAAGTGTGAATGACCCAAACCGGTGCAGCGGTCTCAGCTTTCCGCTTCGCGAGACCAAGAACAACTCCCTCGGCGGAAGGCGGGTGGAAGCCTGACCCAGCGTTGATGACAATGTCGTGCTTGGAGGCGATCTCGGTGATCCCGTCCACATCGTCAAGACTGGAAATAAGGAGTGGATTTACACGCGATCCATAGTTTTCTGAGAGCTTTGCGACTCGGTTCGGGCTGCCGCGGATAGGAGTTGTGATCGGATTGGTACTGGTGATGACTGACGTCAGGGAAGGATGGCAAAGCAAGTGATGGAGAACGCTGCCACCGATATAGCCAGTTGCGCCAAGCAACAGGATCTTTGGCATCTGAGATGGCATTTCGGAAGTTTATGAAGTTCAGATGTGTATGATAGGGGATTAAAGATACGCAGATGATTTTGCTTGCCTAGTAGAAGGTAGTTATGTGCGGGATGGCGGTTTTAATGCTGCAAGAATCATGCATGTTTAGGCCTTATTGGCTGAGAAAAACAGCCGATTGACCGGGACAGCCCAACACACCCCAAAGACACGGAAATTCGGACGGACCCCGCAAGCAGTGGTTCAAGACTGGTGACGAGCTTGCTTCACCTTTTCTTAAGCCCGATTATGCCCGAACACGACAGTAGTGATGATCCGCCGTCATTTCCCGGAGTCTGGCCCTTCAAAGAAGAGCGCCAAGAGGCTCAAGGGCTACGTCGCATAGTATGGCAAAAGGGCTACCAGGATACGTGGAATACCAAGACCGAGCCATCCTCGAGTCAAGGCCAAGGTGTCATCCGGAACAGACGGCCCCATAGACGGCACCGGGAGTGCAAACGAGGACCTGAGCGACACTGAAGCCTTCGATCGTGTAACTAGAACCACGCCAGTAAATAGATTGCACAAGACATTAAACTTGACGAGAGGCAGGCCAAGAATGCTGCATGGGAAGACATCATGCAAGCATCGCAACTCGAAGCATTTAAACCCGTTAACCCCGAGGAACTGCGTAATGATCTCGGCCAAGCATACTCCAACTCTATAGTCAGCTGCCCTGCGTATTTGTGGGCGAGTCTTGGGGCTGGAGTGTGCTTCCGATTCTCAGTCCGGCCGGGACTCAAGGCGCAAAAAGTTGAGTATCTAGCCGTTCTATTAAAGCTAGCAATATTCTTCCCCATCAAAGTAGCCATTTGTCACCGGGCTGTTTGAAACGCCAACTTGAACCCTACCTTCTGTTCATCATCAACTGCCAACAGCCAAGTCCTTATGTGGCCACCGGCTTTCTTCTCTGCTGCGGCAGCAGTCCTCTGGTATGGAGAGGCTATCTACGGCCAATACCTTCCTCATGTTGGACACATCGACTTCCAGGGGCGCTTTCTTGTAGCCATCTCAGATGCGGACATGGTGTCTTCGGCTTATACGGATGGTCAAATAGGACCACCTCAAGGTTCGGATACTCTGTATATCATACAGATAAAAGACAATACAGATATGTGGAAAGTCTCGAACATATCTGTTGGAAATGCAGTAGTTGGGCCGCCCACAGCAATGACGATCACTCCAAACGGCCGCTATGCGATTGTTGTTGAGACTCTTGGGCCACGGCCGTCTGCAAACCCAAACACTACGATGTCGGAACTACCCTATTCGCGGAAAATCACAGTCATCGACCTCATCGACTTAGACAGACCTGCAGTAGTGGACACCGTTGAAGGTTTTCTTCAACCTTCAACTGTGTCAGTCAATGCAGCTGGGGACCTAGTTGCGGTGACACACACCCTTTCTGGATCCGGAGGCGAGACACCGATTGCTCTGTATCGATTTCAGCAAGGGAAGCTGTCTCTTTTGTCAACACCTGCTATTCCTGACTGGCCTTCTGGACATCTTCTGATGGACGCGGCTTTCCACCCAGAGCTTGATATTCTGGCCCTCACAGACTACTCGCAACCCCGTTTAGCTCTGGTTAGAGTAATTCGACAGGGTCCCGAAGCTAAGCTAGAAAGATGGGGAAATTCGTTAAATCTGGAGACGGCACCATACACGGCGAAGTTCACACCGGACGGACGACATGTTCTTTCCAACGCCATGTATGTTGGCCCAGATATCGAGGCACCTCGAGGAACAGTTTCCAGTATTCGTCTAGATGCGTCACAAGAACAGAATGGGGAACCTCAACATAGCGTTGTCTCTCGTGCCGAAGCCGGAGTCATGCCGGAGGGACTTGCAGTCAGTCCAGATGGGCTGTGGGCAGTAACTGCAAACCTGGAGCGAAGCACGCCTTCACTTGACAGCCCCAGCCAAGGATTCTTCTCATCCCTCAGCTTACTACGCGTGGAGCCTGCCAACGGTACTCTATCAACAGTGGGCACATACGCCTTCGACGGCATACTGCCTGAGGGGGTCGTTTTTGACAGCTCCAGTCGTTTTGTCGCTTCGACGACATTCGATCAGTATGATGGTCGTATTCCAGGCGGCAGTATCGATATCTGGCGAATTTCGGGTGATCATGCCGATCCTACGCGTGTAGAGTTTGTCAAGACGATTTTTTCGGTTCCTGTTGTACGTGGGCCGCACGTCATTGCGATGGTAGGGTAACTGGGGGCTACTCGGAGCGGTCTGTACCGGGTTGATGCGGTGGTTTGAGGCGTAACCACAGATGATACAATACTTTATAGTTCTCTCATCGCGATCATTGACTTATTCTTCCTCATAAAGCATGCTGTTCTCATGGCTTCTGTTTTGGACAGGTCTCATGCAAACAAGCACTGTCTTGGGGCCGGCTTCAGTCATCGACCGACCGGAAAATTTGAGAGTCTATGTCTTTTGCTCTTGAGTATCTTGGCTACGCTCAGAACTCTTCCTTTGGCTCTTGTATGGTTCTCAACGGTCTGACGTTTGCTCAGAGTGCCAAGCATGTGAGGCTGCTGTCCAAAGCTCAGTGCGATCAGCGTGCGTGTCTCGAATTTGCGTCAATGAGAGAGGAACAGGTCTGCGCCTGGTATAAACCAACCATAGTCACCATTCATCAACTCGGCACATAACAAATGTGTTACGCATGGCTGAAAGCGAGAGGCTATGAATTACAGTTGAGATCATGACTGACGGCTCGCTTGCATGCCGCATGATGCAGAAGGCGAACTTGCCCGGTTTCGGTAGGAATGAGAGATGTTATTGGGATCAGGATAAGCAGATGGATATGGCAATAAGCACCCGGGGCGCTGGAGAACGTACCTCGCTCGTCAATCACTAGATGTCGACGATTCATAACGTGGGCATATGTACATTTGAATTCGTGGTAGTTAGGTATTGGATAAACCAGGGACCTGGTCTCATGTTAGTAGCAGGCGTATCTCAGGACCCAAACAAGCTTGGGTGTGTTTCAATGGGTTATTGCAAGGGCGCCAGCGGGATTCGATTGCTCCAAGGCCTGGTCATCTTTATCTTGTGTTGGGACAAACAGAGACACGAAGACAAGCGACGGTACATTGTTATGAGACCAGGCATATTAATTCACAGGGCTACCGAGCAAATAGAAACTTGCATTCAGAGATTGTCGTAAGGAAATCAGCGCTTATGAGGTTTTGAGCATTGTCAGATCGCATGTGTTCCCAGCGTCATATCGCTTTTGAACGCCATTTCGAGATACCTTGTGTCTCGCGCCGGGATGAAGATGAGACCTCATCGTGATGATAGAATGAAAGATGCACGTTTATCCTTTCTCTTCCATAGTCCGCGAAGAGAAGAAGCATTAGTAGCCTTATAATATCACACCTCTACCTTTCATTAACATCGTCTATGACAGTCTCACCACAACGCGCCTTTCCGCTTTCAACATTTCGAGTCCTACAGACCTTCCCTGCCCACCCGCCTTCAACCTCAGCATCAGAAGAAAAGAAGAAACCCACAAGATCTGCCATGGCAGATGATTGTGTAACATCACACAAGACAATTTTCTCACTCATGCCAAACGCGTGACTAATGTATCTCTGGGAAGCTCTGGCTCATGCAATCCAAAAGACTGCCTCTATAAGGAGAGTATAGAAGTGAAGGATGTCACTAGGGACTGTCTGACACTTGGATGCCGCTGCATCCTGGAGTCTGAGCACTGAACCGCGCCATATAAGACTGAAAATCTCCAGACATTACAAATTTCGAACTGATGCGTGTTCGGGACTCCAACACCTAGTCCATGATATACACCTTCAGTCGCCTTCGATAAAGGGAAGACAACTACTCCTAGATGGAATTTCTGGTCAATACATCAGTTCAAAGCTCACCACTTGCTCTGAAAACTTAGGCCCTTGCTGCTGGTTTCATCGCTTAGTATGATCGAGATTGCCTGAATTCAGGGCCATTGTCTGGATTTGAGACGTGTTAATAATACTTCTAGTGATCAGACTTACAGGAACATCTGGCAACAGCAGTTGCGAAGGGCTTCCGGAAGACTGGCTGACATGAACATAATGAGGTCTTTCAATCACAAGGCATTGTCATGAATGGGATGTTGAAGGCTTCATTGCTTACTGCGTTCGCAGTGAGGGACGTCACGGCTGGATCAAGGCCGACTCCAGGCAAACCGAACCAAAAGAGCGACAGTCGTCTACAGGAGTGCTGCACTCATGATTCAAGGGGGATATGCACTCGGGGAAGACGCTCCAAGTGTCCACGATTTGCGCTTCAAAAGAAATTACGTACATTGCCTGCAAATTTTCCACCAATAACCTTCCAGTACTTAGCAATGATTCATGGGGGGATGTTCCAGGCCGCTATGTAAAGTGGAAGGGTTCGTAATCGTTCCAAACGAGTTTACGTGGGGTGATCTTACCCATTCGATGGCAGTGTCTGATGGCACGTACCTTTTCATTATGCGCGGGCTGAGGTGTCAAGTTTACAACGCACCTTGGCGACCGCGTGGCATGCCAGGCCCCTGGCTGAGAAGCTTTGTGTATGCACGCCAGCACGAATCATACTCTAGTTCCTATTACAGCCAAGCGTTTGAACATCGTCGTACTACGCGAAGAGTTCAAGGTCTACCGTTGCACTGTTAACTCAGTGGTCAGATATGGTCTTGATTGCATAACCATGTCGGTCGAGCTCAGGACCGGTCCGCTCCGCATGTTTGAGGGCCCGATGGATGTATCAAAGCCCGGTTGGGGGTCCCTGGCGTTGAAGATGCAAAATTAGCCAGGCTTCAAATGTCCTGGGAAGTTGGGCACTCACGGCAGTGTTTTTATCTTTCGACTTCTTCCTGGTGCTCGCGCTGGTACCCCAACGCAGGGGTGCACCCTTACCACTCAGTTGAGCTCAGCTGTAACTCCCTCGACCTATGTGGTACTGAGCCTTTTGCG